TATTCACCGGATGCCTGGCTCCTTGTGCACCACCTCCCCTTCCCAGACAAAACTCCCTTCCACCACCTTGAAATCCAAATACCTGGTTAACTCCCTGTACAGCAGCATCTTCACCAGCTGGCCGGGGGCCAAGGGCAGCGAGAATGGAGCAACATGCTGCCCCTGTACCAGCCCCTCAAGTGCTCCCTGGGCTGTGGCCCCCAGCTCATTGGCCATGAGGAATTAGGGGATCAACTAAACCTTCCTACTTCAGCTGGGTCCCATGGACTCAGAGGGCACCTTAGGGAGCCCAAAGCATTTATGCAGCTGAGGCACAGGAGATAGGGGCCCCTGCCCCTCTACTCCCAACCAAGTCTCCATCCTCTGTGGACTACTCTACCACCAAAGCAGCCCTCCCACAGACGGGCTGCTCCACATCCCATGGACCACCCAGGTAGGGACCCAGAGGGTACAATGGGGGACTAGAGGTGCAGAGGGTCCCTGGGGGTGCAATAGCAGGGTGCAGCCTGGGGAGTACATAGGCAGTTCCATATGGGAGGGTGGGGGTTACAACAGGGCCACCCAGCCATGCTCAGGGTGAGGGGAGGGGGCTCTTCCTCTGCACCACAAAACCAGTTAACCCAGACCCACCTGGACCAGAGCCCTCTGCCACAGCCCCTTCACCCCTCGCCAACACCACAGCACAGGCAGCCTCCCCCCCAGGACCAGTGCCTGCTGCCGCACTAGGATCCTCCACCTCCATCCAGTCTCTCCCCTCCCTGCTCCTGGCTCCCACACAGACAGGCAGACAAACTCAGGCCCAGACACTTTATTGAGGAGGGGCACAGAGCCACCAATAAATAAGGGTTTAGGAGGCCCGGGGAGGGGTGGCTCTGCCCACACAGGGCCAGGACACAGCATCCCCCACAGGAGGGGACAGAAAAAATGGGGATCCCAACCCTGGGAAGACTGGCCCCCTCAGGGATCATGCTGCGGAAGGGAGGATGGAGAGATGTGCAGCTGGAAGCAGGCCGTAGGGAGAGAGGTTGGGGGCCCAGCTGAATAGAGGGGCTGGGGAGCAGGCCCCAGAGGCTACGCCCTGCCCTACTCGCCCTGGGGCACGGCCAGGGGCGTCCCCTTTGGGTCATCAAAGCGGTCCATGGTGCGGAGGCCCAGCAGCACGTGCAGGCCACAGGCCAAGCCAGCCCCAAGCAGCAGGGCCGTGAGCAGCCCCATCCAGGTGCCTGGCGCAAAGAACCCAGCGCAGTCGTTGGCAGAGGAGAACCGCAGGCCTGTCACGTTGAACGCCTGTTCCCAGCCTCCCCAGCCTCCTCCAGAGCCAGGAGAGAACCCAGGCATCCTGGCTCCCAGCCACCTCCCCCCTTTCCCGAGCAGGGAGAGAACCAGGCACCCTGGCTCCCCGCTGGTACCTGCACATCCTGCAGCAACACCCCCCAGGCAGGGCTGAGGCGGAAGGGCACCAGGCCAGCGCCAAAGGCAGACAGGCTGCTGAGGTGGGCGCAGCGCCAGGAGTAGTTGCGAGGGGCCGTCACCTGTGAGGCGTTGAACATGGTGGACTGGACTGAGGGCACTGCCAGCTCCAGGTGATTCAGCTGGAACCAATCCCGGCCCGAGACAGGGAACCACCGGCTGGTCATGTGGAACCTAGGAAACGGGGGCCATGGCTCAGCCAGCCACCCAGAAGGAAACACAGCACCCTCAGCCAGCTGCCTCCCCAGGGCCAGAGACCCCACCAATCTGAAACCTCTGCCCATTATGCCCCAGCCAAAGCCTTCCCCTTGCATGTCACCCTGAAACCCCAGCCAAAGAGACCCCCCCCACTCACGTGACAGTCAGAGGAGCCCCCAGAACATTGTCATACTTCAGTACCAGCCTGCGGGAGGAAAGGAAACAGTCACCCCAACAGTCATCCCGCCCCCCCCCCACCCCCGCTCCCCCCCCCCCC